TCCCCTCCCTATCCCACTATGAATCAACCTCCTTATATCAGAGAAAACACTTGGCATTTGGTTTTGGGGGATTGGCTAACTTCATTTAGCATTATCTTCTCCAATGCCATCCATTTACCTGCAAATGCCATGATTTTATTCTCTTTTATTGCTGAGTAATATTCCATCGTGTATATATACCACATTTCTTTTATCTATTCATCTACTGAAGGGCATCTAGGTTGGTTCCACAGTTTAGCTATTGTGAAATGTGCTGCCATAAACATTGATGTGGCTGTGTCCCTGTAGTATGCTGTTTTTAAGTCCTTTGGGTATAGACAGGATAGCTGGATCAAATGGTGGTTTCATTCCCAATTTTCTAAGGAATCTCCATACTGCTTTCCATATTGGCTGCACCAATTTGCAGTCCCACCAGCAGTGTATGAGTGTGCCTTTTTCCCCACATCCTCACCAACACTTATTGTTATTTGTCTTCATGATAGCTGCCATTCTGACTGGAGTGAGATGAAATCTTAGTTTTGATTTGCATTTCTTTAATTGCTAGCGATGATGAACATTTTTTCATATATTCATTGATTGATTGTACATCCTCTTCTGAGAAGTGTCTGTTCAGGTCCTTGGCCCATTTATTGACTGGGTTATTTGTTGTTGTTTTGTTGTTGTTGTTGTTGTTGTTTGGTGCTTAGCTTTTTGAGTTCTTTATGTACCCTAGAGATTAGTGCTCTATCTGATATGTGAGGGGTAAAGATTTTCTCCCCAAATGTAGGTTCTCTATTCACCTCAAAGATTGTCTCTTTAACTGAGAAGAAACTTTTTAGTTTGATTCCATCTCATTTATTGATTCTTGGTTTTAATTTTTGTGCCAAAGGAGTCTTATTAAGGAAATTGGAGCCTAATCCCACATTATGGAGATTAGGGTCTAGTTTTTCTTTTATTAGTCATAGGGTCTCTGGTTTTATTCCTAGGTCCTTGATCCACATTGAGTTAAGTTTTGTTCATGGTGAGAGACAGGGGTTTAATTTCATTTTGCTGCAAATGGATTTGCAGTTTTCCCAGCACCATTTGTTGAAGATGCTATCTTTTCTCCAGTGCATGTTTTTGGTACCTTTGTCTAATATAAGATAGTTGTAATTTTGTGGGTTAGTCTCTGTGGCATCTATTCTGTACCATTGGTCTACTAGTCTGTTTTGGTGCCCAATACCATGCTGTTTTTGTTACTATTGCTCAGTAGTGTAGTTTAAGGTCTGATGTAGTGATGCCACCTCTTCCTGCTAAGGATTGCTTTAGCTATTCTTGATCTCTTATTTTTCCAGATGAATTTCATGATTGTTTTTTCTATTTCTATGAGAAATGCCATTGGGATTTTGACCGGAATTGCATTAAATCTGTATAGTGTTTTTGGTAGTATGGTCATTTTAATAATATTAATTCTGCCTATCCAAGAGCAAGGTAGATCTTTCCATCTACTAAGGTGGTCTTTGATTTCTTTCTTTAGGGTTCTGTAATTTTCATTATATAGATCTTTCAACTCTTTTGTTGATTCCCAAGTTTTGTTTTGTTTTGTTTTTGAGGCTATTATAAATGGGGGTAGTTTTCCACATTTCCCTTTCTGAGGATTTGTCACTGATATACGTAAATGTATTTGATTTATGGGTGTTGCTTTTATGTCCTGCTACTTTGCTGAATTCATTTATTAGTTCTAGAAGTTTTCTGATGAAACTTTTAAGTTCTTCTAGGTATAGGATCATATCATCAGCAAATACTGCCAATTTGAGTTCTTCTTTTCCTATAGTTATCCCTTTAATTTCTTTCATCTGTATAGTTGCTCTGGCCAGTATTTCAAGGACTATGTTAAATAGAAGTGGTAAAAGAGGACATCTCTGTACTGTTCCAGTTTTTAGAGGGAATGCCTTCAGTTTTTCCCCATTTAGAATGATGTTGGCCATGGAGCATACCATAGATAACCTTTATGATATGAGATATGTTCCTGTTATCCCTAATTTTTCTAGTGTTTTGAATATGAAGGGGTGCTGTATTTTGTCAAATGCTTTTTTCTGGGTCTATTGAGATGATCATATGATTCTTATCTTTAAATCTATTGATGTGACAAATTACATATATTGATTTCCATATGTTTAACCATCCTTGCATCCCTGGGATGAACCCCACTTGATAGTTGTGCATGATCTTTTGATATGTTTTTGTATTCGATTTGCCAGAATTTTATTGAGAATTTTTGCATCAATGTTCATTAGAGATATTGGTCTGAAGTTTTCTTTCTTTCTTCTTTTTTTTTTTTATGTCTCTTTGCCTGCTTTTGGAACCAGGGTGATATTGGCCTCATAGAAAGAGTTTGGAAGTGCTTCCTCTTTTTCTATTTCCTGAAATAAATTGAAGAGTTTTGGTATTAAGTTGTTCTTTAAAGGTGTTGTAGAACCTGGCTGTGTATCCATCCAGACCGGGCTTTTCTTGGTTGATAGTCTTCTATTCCGTTGCTTGAAATTGATCTGTTTAGATTGTGTATATCATCCTGATTCAATTTGGGCAAATCATATGACTCTAGAAATTTGTCAGTGCCTTTGATATTTTCTATTTTATTGGAGTACAAGTTTTCAAAATAATTTCTGATTATCTTCTGTATTTCTGTAGTGTTTGTTGTGATATTTCCTTTTTTTATCACGTATGTTAGTAATTTGAGTTTTCTCTCTCCTTCTCTTTATTAGCATGGCTCAGGGTCTGTCAATTTTATTTATTTTTGTTCTATCAATTTTTTCAATTGTTTCTTTTGTTTCAATTTCATTTATTTCAGCTCTGATTTTAATTATTTACTGCCTTCTACTGCTTTTGGTATTGATTTTTTCTTCTTTTTCTAGGGTTTTGAGATGTAATGTTAAGTCATTTATTTGTTGTCTTTTTCTTTTATAAAGAATGAACTCCATGCAATGAACTTTTCTCTTAGAACTGCTTTCATAGTGTCCCAGAGATTTCGATAGGTTGTATCTGTGCTCTCATTCACCTCTAAAAAATTTTTTAATCTGCTCCTTGATGTCTTCTGCAACTTATTGTTCATTCAGTACTATATTATTTAGTCTCCAGGTGTTGGAGTAGCTTTTTTTCTTATTTTATCATCGATTTCTAATTTCATTCCATTATGATCTGGTAGAATGCAAGGTAGTATCTCTACTTCAAATTTGGTATCTTCAAATTTTGAAAGGAAATCTCAATTATTGACAAGTGATGTTAACAGGACTGGGAAACTTAAATTCCAAAGGGTGGGAAATTTTCCACTAAAGGACAGAAATTGTGTTAATGCAGTCATTTGGGACCTTGGTGCACCCTCCATTTGTGCGTTCTCAGGAAATCTCATCCTGACTTTAAAATGTTACATTATATGTTGCATTATATTTTACCTTAAAGGCTATACAGGACTTACATGGCTTTGGGGTTTTTTAGCTGCTAAGGCTGTTACCACATGAGTGAAATGGGGATAACAACAGCTACTTCCTAAGGTTTTGATGGGCCTTTAAATCTTGGGAAATGCCTGGCATAATAAATAGCAATTTCATACAACAGCTTATTACACAGACCACCATAGAAAGAAGAGTTAAGCATATTAAGTGTGCAACATGTATTTTTAATAAATAAGGATAATTGTTCTTCAGCCCTCTATAAATCTTCTGTTGGTTTGGAGTGAGGGGTAGGGTTGGAGGCAGGAAGGAGGATGAACCTTCCTCCAGGGCTCTGGAGTTGGCAAGAGCTGGCCAGTGATCTCGCAGCAAGTAAGAGAGGATGGCTTCCCCACCGTAGACTTGAGAGATGGTTTGTCAGCTCCTGCTCATTTACAAAGGTGGCCAACCACATTGTGTGTGACCTTGACCTCATATCATGGTAATGGAAAGCAGCTGGGAGGAGTGGTGGCCAAAGTGTGCACGGGACTGGGTCATGGGGAGAGGCAGAGACCTAAAGTGCCTAAGAGGAGGTTGCTGCCTTGGAGAACTGTCCCAGGTCCCCCAAGTTGCCCCTGTCAGGACCACAGGCATCCTTAAGTGCTGTCAGCCTGTACCATCTTTTGATGCACTCTGCTTCTTTATAACTTATCCTGGTAAAAATCCACTTTTTAAAAACTGAACATTTTTCTATTCCTAGAAAATAACATGATTGTTACAAACATCATGAAGTATATAAAGTAAATCAAAATCCTGAGGCTAAAAATCCTGAGGCTGCAGCCTCAAAAACAGCTGCCTTGTCTTGACTTAGACACCTGCAGAACATCTGTTTGTTACAGCTGTGAATGGACAACCTGGAAAGGATTCGTACAGCACATCCTAAACTACAGGAGTTGTCCCAACTAGAAAGTTTTGGGTTTGGGGGATTTTTTGAATATTTATTTTGTAGTTTTAGGTGGACACAATATCTTTATTTTATTTTTATATGGTGCTGAGGATGCTTCACGCATGCTAGGTGAGCGCTGTCCCCCTGAGCCACAACCTCAGCACCCAACTAGAAAGTTTTAATGATTCTTTGATGACAGATCATTACCAATATGTTATCTGCAGGGTTTGCCTTACAATGTTGATACATTATTACATTTTCAAATACAAGAGTCACTTCTTTATATAAGAAAATGCTTTCTGTGTTTTAACTGTACAGTGCTAATTTGGATAAATAGGTTAATTATGGTGTTCCTCTACCAACATGAATTTCACCTCTATGTTCTGCAGGTACAGAAGAAGAATACAATTATTAGGGAAGACAGAGTTGATTGATTTTTATGGCTATCAAAATAGGACAATTAACAGAATGTATTGTCCTAAAAGTACCCTTTCAGTAATAAACAGTATCTTTTCCTGGAAAATGAAATGTGTTCATGCTTGGTCAAAGCCTTGTAAACGGATTTAAAGGGGAAAAAGGTAATCTCCTTTAGCAAAAAAAAAAAAAACTATAGAGAAACCTGATATAAAGACTTTACATCTTATTTTTCATTTTTTCTTTTTTCCCAGGCCCCGATTATATCAAACAGAGATTGCAGGAAGGTGTAGATGCTAAAGAAAACCCAGAAGAAAAGGTACCAGAAAAGCCACCTACCCCAAAGGAATCTCCTCATTTTTATCGCAAAGGCACGACACCCCCGAGGTCTCCTGAGGCAAGTCCCAAACAGAGCCACTCTCCCCAACCTCCCTCCCCAAAGTCCATGAAGAAGCAAAACCCCACCTCTGGGGCCAGACTCAATCAAGATAAAAGGAGTATGGCTGACGAGCAGGTGACAACTGTGGTCAATAAGCCCTTGATGTCAAAGGCTCCCTCAAAGGAGGTCGGAGCCATCGTGTCCCAGTCCAAGTACTCTGGCCGCCACCACATCCCCACCCCCAGTAATGGGGAGCTGCATTCTCAGTATCACGGCTACTATGTGAAACTGAACGCCCCCCAGCACCCTCCAGAACACGTGGGGGACGATGATGAAGCGAGCCAGTCTTCCTCAGCACTGGTGCACAAGCCATCGCCTAACAAGTGGAGTCCCCCCAAACCTGTGACAAAACCAGTTGCCAAAGAAAGCAAAGCTGAGCCAAAAGCTAAGAAGTCTGAACTTGCTATACCAAAGAATCCAGCAAGCAACGATTCGTGCCCTTTGGAAAAAGAAGCCAATTCAGTAAGTCTCACCACAAGTGTTTTCTTTTCCTTCCTCCCCTTTGGTTCTTTCGGGGAGCCACAGAGGGTGGTGCGCATCTCGATAACTGCCTGGGCTCACAGAGGTCCTAGGGTCACGGGGTTATTTAGAGTTTAACACCTTGGTAGCTTGAGCTAGCCAGAGCTCTCCAGGCAGGTGTTCCGGGGGCACATTCCGTTGCTACCTTAAACATTAACTCAGGCAGGTGAGACCTGACCAACCTAGGACCACCCCACATTCTAGCAAGCCTCTGTCCACTCTTCTCGGTGATCTGCATGGTGGCTTGTGCTCTGACTGCTAGAAAGGAAATATGCCTTTCCCTCCCAGAGCTCTAGGAGGGAGTTCTGAACCCTCCTTTGGCCCTCCCACTGTGGTCAGCCTCTTTACACAAAAAGAACATCTCTTCTAGCATTGTGAATTCTTCTCATAAAGGTTTAGCTTGGAGTTTACTTAATGAGCCTGGCTTTGCAGCGAGAACATTTTTCTTCCCCAAAAGAGAAATTTTTTAGTAGTTGAAGAGGATGACTTTGGTCTTCTAATTTCAGAATGTAAATGCTCTGGCAATTTCGGTTTTCTGGTAGATCCCAGTTATTATCAATGAATCTTGAACATTTGTTATTTGGCCAGAATGTTCTGTGTTAATGAAAAATGCCTATGTGCTTCTTCATGTCTGATTTATTTGTTGGATAATATGTGGAATTAGTTTGTTATCAAATTCTGTAGAATTCCTATTAACCTGAAGCTAAGTAATTACTGATTTTTTAAAAAAATGACCTGGTGACCTGTTCACATGCCTTTGACACTGAGGCAGTGGGTGTTAAATGTAGCTAGGGAATAAGCCACAGCTCACCTGATATGTACTGGTTATGTCAGAGACATGTGCATACTGATGTAGACTAGTGTCTTGGCCAACAAGGTTATAACATTGGTATCTCAGTTTTGGCTGCTCCATTTACTCATAGGATTAAACTAGCACAATTCATCTTTTGAATTAATTTATACTTGAAATTTCTCATGTCTCTTTTGCTAATGTCTATAAAACACTAGCTCTCTTTGTCCCCAGGTTTTCAACTTTTAAATTAGCTAAATGTAAATTAATCGGATTAGCTGGATTACCCAAGAGTCAACCTCTATGGAGCTAAATGATTTTTAGAATAGGCTAATATTATGAGATTCTGGCTGTTCAGCAAGCATTCATTTTTAAAATATTTAACATTGATTTGTCAGTATCCTGATATTAAGTTAATATTATCAGTGCTGAATTTGTTAAATGTAATAATGATTTCTCTTATGTGTATCCATGAGATAGAAAAAGGAGATAGACTGTCTATTTCTAGATAGATCAGTATTATCTGATTTATAAAGGGGAAATTCAAACAGACCTTCAAGGTTATATTTTTATATATCTAGTAGTATGTTCGGTGGACTTCCATAACTCTACAGGGGAAATATATGCTCCAGTGTCCTGCTCATTAGGCTGTGGTTTAAAAAAAAAAAAACAAAGGCCCTGTTGACTTTCCTAGTTTTAACCTGCAAGCATCTTCTGTGAAGCAGTACTGTAGATATGTTCGGTGACTTCACAGCCTCCTGATTTAGAGAAAGCATCTGTTCTGCTTATATGAGGAATCATGGTTCTTGGATTTGGCCAGGCATCTTCCACCTGCAGGGGTCAGTCTTGAGGGTTCCTGTTCACAACCCAGGGAGAGAGAGGGCCCAGCAGCTCTGCAGCCTCCCAGGCTTCAGGCTGCCCCTATGTGTGAAGGTGACAGGGTCACTGGGCACCTTTGTGTGAAAATGTTGTCTTCTTCATGATGACAGAAAGCTGCCTTTCACAGTCCTGATAACCTCCTCCAGGATTTAGGAAGTGACGCCATCATTACAATGGGAGTCTGTGAGGGGCCTTTAAACTGCAGAAGACTCTATACAATTCTTAGATGAAGGCATTGTGCAAGTGGGAAGTTTACAAAATCACAATTTAAAATTCATAGAAACATTCACACTAAATCCAACATTTGAGGGAAACCCAGAACAAATCAGTTAATGTTCTTTGTGTAGGCATTGAGAGATTCAGTTTGCATCAGAATCTCCATCTGTAAGGTGGATAACTATTTTAGTCGGCTTTGGTCACTGTGACCAAAAGACCTGATAAGAACAATTAGAAGAGGATAAGTTTATTTGAGGTTTATAGTTTCAGAGGTCTCAGTCTGTAAATGGCTGACTCCATAGCTGTGGGCCCAAGATGAGGCAGATTATCATGGCAAAGGAGTTTAGAGGAGGAATGCGTCTCAGGACATGGCACCAGGAAGCAAAGAGAGCTCCATTCACTAGGGACAAAATATCAATCAACCCCAAAGCACAGTCCCAGTGACCCACCTCCTCCAGCCACTCCTCACCTGCCTACAAGTACCACCCATATAAGTTAATCCAGAGCTTTCATAACCCAATCATTTCACCCCTAAACTTTCTTGCATTGTCCACATGTGAGGTTTTGAAGGACACCTCATATCTAAACCATGATGATGGCCAACCTGAATCTGAGATTTTATAGTCAACCAGCTTACCTGATTGAGGTAATACTGATTAGTAGCTAAGAGCACAGATTTGAAACATCTGGGCAAGTTTACTAACTATTCTGTCTTAGTTTCCTCATACGTTCATTCCTATCTTAACATTAAAGAATTAAAGTGTTAGGGATAACACAAAGTTCTTAGTACCATGCTGAGCACATGCTCAGAAAGCATTGCCTATTATTATGTTTCATTTCCAGTGTACTAGTTGAAGCGTAAATAGTTCCTAGATATTCTAACAGATTTGATCCATCTTCAGGATCACCCTGGATATTGATCTCCTAGAAATACAGAAAACCTTCTAGGACACAGACTAACACTTAGAGCAAATTAACAACTTGATCATGAAGTAGGACAAGGGAGGCTCAGCAGCCTTAGGAAACTTGTGATGGATCCGGGCATGGTTACCTGTGGGCTCATGTCCAGGAGTGTGCATCCTACATGATGTGGATATTCATAGAGGGTTTGGGAACATGGAAACTCTGGTAAGAGCCAGAACAACTGTCTGAGCCTTATTACAAGGCAACAAGTGAAGGGTCCTCCAATCAAGAATCTCCACCTATCCTGAAAGCTGACTGCACTTTTTTTCTCAGCCATTACTAAGGTCAGCTTCCAAGTTTGTTTTGAGATTTACCTGATCTTTCTTTTGAATTTATGCAAAACTTAAAGCATCCCTGCGGGTTAAGTTTGAACCTCACAAAAAAAAAGTAAATTCATATAATTGAATTTTCCTATTAATACTAAATTAAACTTTTCTCTTTGCATATGATTTTAGTTAGAGTTTATTTATATCAAATATAAAACTTCCCTATTTCCAGCAGAAATTTTCTCACAATTTTAAATGTGAATGATTATCTCTTAGTGAAAAGAAAATTTCCATTCATTCCTTAAGGTACAATTTCTTTCCATATTTTGACCCCCACTTTTGCTTGTTTAACGGCCTTCTAATATGGACTTCAGTTTGCCCGTTGCTGTAGTTTCCATTACACCTGTCCCAATCGGTCTTGAAAAGCAAGACTTTTTTTTTTTTTTCCATTTTGCTATTTTAAGCTACAACTGGCCCGCACAATCATATTTATGGGACTTCACCTTAAAGCGTTTTCACCCCATGGCCTGCCTGGGTATCTGAAGAACACCGAGGTCACGGCTTGATATCTAAAATAGTGTCCCAGATTTTCATTTTTCACCTGGTGTTGGTTTGAACCTCTCATAACTGGATTACTCTCATCTTCACTGAGTCATCTTTAAAAATAGTTTTATAAATGGAGCTACACTGATAGAATAAATACGTATGTGTGTGTTAGAATATGTCCAGGATAAATATATATGTGTTCAGAAAAATGCATATTTATTTATTTTTCATTCTGGATAAGGCATTTATACAGGCATTTATTCATTATTCAAGGAATCCAGATTATCAGTATAATGAGATGTGAGCCAAAACTTGAAGATGAGAACTAAATTCACCCCAAGACATTATCCAAACCCAGAATACCAACCAATTCACAAGGGACTGGTAAATTCACAGAACTTTGGAAGGATTTATAGGAAGAACATTAAAGATTCAGGCTATCATAACTTTTGGGGGGAGGGGTACTGAGGATCAAATCTGGGCCTCATGCATGCTAGACAAGTGCTCTACCAACGATGCACATCCACAGCCCCATATCCACAGCCCCTACCATAAGCTTTTAAAGTTGGCTTTACTAACGGTACCTTCTCGGTTGATTCCCCTTTTCCTGGGTCCCCTTAGGATACTGACTCTGCATTATATATTGTCCAGATCCAGTTCAGATCCACTTTCCCTCATTTTTCATATCACTAAGTTATCTTTGAGAATTACTAATTAAATGCATTGGCCCAAAAGAGTTGAAATAATACCACTCATGAATCAAATCAAATCAAAGTATATAGCAGTAATGGCATTTCCTTAATTTCTGTACTCAGTTATGAATGTTGAAAGATCATCATGATTATATTCAGAGTTGTAGGAATTTCCTAAATCATTTCTGCATTTCTCAGCCCTGAAAAATTGTGTGAAATGTTGTGCAGGTTAGTTTTCTCCTATGAATTTGGAATATAACTCTTCCAAAAGAGCAGTTGGTCCTTTGCAAGATTTGGTGCTTATTTGATACTATGGAAATTACAGGACCTAGATGAAAATGTGATATTAAAGAATTTGATGGGAAATTGCTTTTAAACTAAGCCCCAGGGCTTTAACAAGGATGTAGAGAAAAGAGCCTATAGCTGCAAGTGTATAGGATAAGGTTTAGGTGTACCTGTGTAATTTGTTCAAAGGGGCTGAGGAACTTTGGGCAAGACATCTACCCTCTTGAAGCTCTGTAAAATGGAACTAATAATCTCGTATGAAGAATAAACAACAAATAATCTACTTAGAAATGTTTAGCCCTCTGCCTGTCATTATGAAAACCTATTTTCCTCCCATTACTTGGGGCTTAAGAACTGGGGGTCTTCTTTTCCTTGATACTCCCTCTCTCAAGGGCACCTTGTTTTATTCCCCCTCCCGTTTTACTCATTACTCGGGTGTCCTTTGATCAGTACCTGACTCTGTTTTGAAGATGCTGGGTCTCATTAAATACGGGTTGCCCCAGTGAATTGGGCGCCCCCGCAGCTCATGAACTGCATACAGTGGGGAACAAGATGAGGCCCCCATAAAGCTCAGGGTCCAGGTGAGAACATGCAGTGCAACAACAGATGACAAAAAATGTGACCACAGAACAGGGAAAGAACAGAGCCCCCTGACCTCTACCAGGGAGATGTGTCCTGGGGCAGGAGGAGAGCTCCTTCAGGAAGTGACGTAGGACCCAGTCCCAAGGCCCAGAGAGGGCGGGCTCCACAGTGGCAGTCCCAGTCTTCCTTACGCTGCCACTAGAAGGACATTTGAGGCCTCAACAACATTGTTTCAATCTTGTCTTGTATGATATCCAAATAGAGTATCAATGTTTCCTTATCTGTAAAATAAGAACAGTAAAGCTCCCTGTCTTACCTACCTCTTAAGACGACTTTGGAACACTTCAGTGCTATTTAGGAATTAGATGCTCTTTTAATAGTAAACACCAAGATTGCATCTTTCTAATGAAGGTTGCCTCTCCGAGGGCCAGTCCTGAGCACATAGGCCCCGAGAGGCCTATTTGTTGGAAGTTAACAAAATCTGAGAGCCTTAGAGTCTCTGGTACTCCTGTCATCAAAACAGGATTCTGCATTCTGTTAAATATAACTTTACTTCTGTAATGGTGTAGTTGTAATTAGAGGAGTAAAAAGTTAGACCTAGAGGAGTACCTTCTGAAAGTATTCCACTTCCCACTTAACCATTTTTAACGTACTAAAGAAGGTAGGATCCCAAAAGGGGACCAAGAAAAAGCAGGAATTAAAGAATCTCATTTTGAATTTTTCCTGATTTTTTTTTTCTTGGCGGCTTCATTGTCCTCAAATTTTTACTCTCATTTTCTACCTGCCTTGAGGACTCACTCTTCCTCATCTGAATGGATCTAACCACAACCGCTAATGCCCACCAGCCTCCAGCCCCCATGTGGCAAACTGTCTCAATCTAGAGTGGGGTACAGTATCTTGAGGTGAATAGAGCAGGTTATTATCAAAAACATTTTTAACCTAATTCAAGACTGGATTCCATTTTTTAAAAAAATATATATATTTTCTTAGTTATCAATGGACTTTATTTATTTATATGTGGTGCTGAGAATCGAGCCCAGTGCCTCACACATGCTAAGCAAGTGCTCTACCACTGAGCCACAACCTCAGCCCATTTTTTTTTATTGGTTCATATTAGCTATACCTAAATTAGAGTTCACTTTGACATAATTATAAATGCATGATATATAATTTGCTCCAAGTCAGTCCCTAGTACTTCCCTCCCTTTCCTCCCTCCTCCTCTATTGATCTATCTGCTGTTTACTTTTTTTTTTTTATTTTAGTAAGACTGGGTTCATTGTTAAGTGAAAGTTCAACAACAGCTCCATCTAAACATAACCCTTGCTATTTTTATTTCACACCTTTAGGAGCTGCATTCCTCATTCATGCCTTAGTTTCTGCAGCCATGTTTGTTTTCTTATACTTTTGGTAGTTGGTTTTGGCAATATGTTGTCGATATTAACATGGAAACATCATGCTTGTTTTTGTTCTGTTTCACTTCCAGGGCCCTAATTCAGTCATGATTGTCCTTGTCATGCTGTTGAATATCGGGTTGGCCATTCTTTTTGTTCACTTTCTAACTTGATTGGAATTAGGAAAGGTAAGAATAGCCTTAATTTCTCTACCAAATTACAGTAAATAACATTTCTATTCTCATATTCAAATTTGCACTTTTTTTTTTTAAACAATGACATATTGTCCTTCACTTTATTTTGGCTGTGCCTGAATGTGATTCAACATAGTTACTTAATGCTGTAACTGTTTTGACCCTTCAGTGAAGTCATGACAACTAGTGGTGTTAGCCCACAGTCCTCTGCCGTGGTGTCGTCAGCCCTTTAAATGGCACACCCCAGTCAGACTCAGACACAGGCAAGGAGGCTTGGAATTAGGATGGGATCGCGAGAGAGAGATGACACTTGGAAAAATTCAGCCAGAGGACCTGTTCAGTTCCCCCTGGGAATGCTTTGTGGCTTTGGGGTCCTCTGGGAGCTGAAGCACACAGCCATGTTGGAGAACAAAACTTAATAATAATTCTTTTTTAAAATCTGCTGAAGCAGCCCCATCCGGCGAAGTTCTTGGCATTGGCTACTCCATCTGTCCTAGCAGAGTGTGACTAAACTGGAAATGTATGGAGCTGCATTTTTTTTTTTTTTTTTTGATGGAAGTCAACAGCTGCCTTACTATTTTACCATCTGACGTTTTTAGTAGGGAGCTGGGGAAACGACTGCCCGAGGAATGCGGTCGGAGGATTGTGTTGCTGTGGACGAGGTTCCAACATTCACTCCTATCTCATTAGAAGAAATAGGTAGCAGCATCACTCACCAGTCTTATGCCGTGACCTGCTGCTTTAACATCTCCTGGAATGTTCCGGGAGAGAACGTTTCGTTTGCTTGCACGACTCTGCTCATTTTTGCTGTTTATTTAAATACGATGTACAGTCACCTACCACCTGCGGTCCTGGCTGGACTAAACGCACATGTTGCATCTCAAGGAAAAGAAACAACAAAAACGCTAGTGGAAAATGTGTTTATTTTGATAGCAATACATCATTTTTTTATGTCGTTTATTCTTAAGCCTATAAAAGTTTATTTATCTTTAAAGCTTAACAATCTGAAGGCATTATACCTTCCAAAGAAATAATCTAAATATTTTTAACATGACCGAGATGAATTATTTATGCACTTAGGAGGTGCTAAATTTTAAAAGCTGAAAGACAACAGAATTTTAAAGTATAGTCAAAATGTTGCATGGATTGCAGTAATCAGTGTTTAAAGGATTCAGTTTCATTGCTGACGTACTTTACAACCAAATAAAATCTTGTCAGTGGCTATGTTAATTCCCATGAAAGTTAAGCAAGATGCTATAAATAACTACTCTTCTCTTTTTATTTTCTTTCCAACTTAAATTTTTGTTGAATACATTCAGGTAGAGCATAAAACCTTGTTAAAAATCACTGCTTCTCAATCTTCTGCCTTTCATGTTTTTCAAAAGTCTTTTTGTAACTTCATTTCAAATTTTAAAGACTTAGATATTTTTATTTTAAATATTTGTCCTTTGTTATTCTGACATACTCCTTTTTTGCTGTTTTATAATTTATCCTTTATTACTCAGAAGCATGCTTAGAGAATCTGCATAGTCTTTATAAAAGTAATTATTAAAAAAGAAATCAGGGGAGGAAAGGTATGTTAAATCTCTTGAAAACATTACTCTGTGGAGGGGGAGCACTTCCTAAAGACGTTCATGATTTGCCTGGTTTAATCGGATTCTTTTTACATTACTAGCTACCTTCTCAGTGCAGAAGAGACAGTTCACGTAGTTCCCACGGTAGCACAGGTGTGGGCTGCATGCTTTGTCACCTGCAGGGTAGTAACCCAGTGGTGTTTTTTGCAGAAGTACAATATGTTGAGAATCCTGGGTGTGACCAATATGGAATAAAGAAGGCGGCAGAAAGAGAGCAAATGAAAAATTACAACTTGTATATTTATTTTTTACATTTTTGCTTTGACTTTTTCGATTTAGGAAGTACGTTTTTACCCAAGAACAAACGTTTAAGTTCCTGTGTCAGTCTCAGCACTCTCACTGCTCCTCCTAACCCTTTAGCTCCTTATGCTGGGGAAAGCTGATTTTTTTTTAAGAAAATAAAATATTTAATCTTATTAAGTGTTTATTTAAAATGTGTAATGCTTTGGAGATAATGGGTAACAGATAACTAAAGGATATGTTTATAAAGTGAGCATGTTTGTTCCATTTATAAATATATGTATGATTTATAAGCTTTTTTAAAACAAAGCTCAAATTGTTGGTATTTTTCTAAAATGTGCCCAGCTGTATTTTACATGAAGGCTCTTTCTAATGGGTTGTTATACTGTACTCTACATTTTGGACAGCACATGAAGTCTGCCAATGTACTTAATAAAACATGACTTTGTTTATTTAAAGTTTCTTGCTGTGAAAAAGAACTCCCTACCTGTGAGTTCCTTTATTTATAATCCTTGAAACCAAAATGTATAATGTACAGTTTTCACAACTGTATCAGCTCTAATAAAAAGAAATCGGTTATTAATAAAGTTTGGAGGTGTGTTTCCTTTGTGAGTAAATTACTGTCTTTTGTGGACTTTTTTTTTTGTGGTGGTATGAGATCTGCTGAGAAACTAATAATAGAAATGAAAAAAAGAAGCCACATGGCAAAAGGTAGTTATATTATTCCACTACTTCTTTTATGTTGGGCCTTTCAAATAATTTTGCAAAATAAGATTCATTGCTTAATGCCTTCAGTAATTGGATTAGTGCCTTACCCAGGGTTTTAAGACTGCTCCTATTTTTAAGGAAAACTCAAAGTTGAAGTAAATCTCCCTCCTGCATGGTTTTCTTTTCACTTAATTAAAGTTTCTTTGACCACTGTGCTCCAAATAAATTAATACGTTGCTATGGCCCCCACTGCTTAAACACACTCTGGGAGGTTAGGCACAACGGGAAGTTGAATCAACTTGCTGCCACCAGATCTTTCACCCTCGGTTCCCTTTGAAGCCATCCTAGGTATAAGCTTCCTGTGTGGCATAAAACCACCTCCCAGAGAGCCGTCATGGTGCCTTAGAATTCTTGAGGCTGTCACTCCTGTGGAGGCTAAGATACTAGAGACCCCCCCTATAAATAATGCAGTTATTACCTCCAGGTGTGAGCAGGTTTATCAACTTGTCTCTTAGCAAATCCTAAAGCAAGAGGGCACAACACAGGCTTCTGAAGTAGGCTGGGAAAGCACAGGGTGCTAGAGAGAGTATCGATTCCAGATTCAAGTCCAAACCACACGTTCTGAGGGCCGCAGCCAAAGCTGGGGAGAAGTCTGTGTGGTGGGAAATCTGGAAACTGTTCTACATGCCCTTTTCATGCAATAATTATTTCTCAAGAGTCGTGGCAGGCAGGCTCCCCAGGCACCGAGTGCCATTTGTAGTCTTCCCCTGCTTTGGAAAGTTGTGGAGCCAGGTCTTTCCAACTCAGTAGGTGGCTGCAGACGTGGCATATTCTGCCCTCCCATCTAACCGTTCCTCAGACTGCATTCGATTGTTCCAGGTTCGAGAATTACCTGTGGGTCCAGCACTTCCCTCTCCCCCAAAGATACTAGAGACCCCCCTATAAATAATGCAGTTATTACCTCCAAGTGTGAGCAGGATAATCAACTTAAACAGTCTCCTAGCAAATCCTAAAGCAAGAGGGCACAAAACAGACTTCTGAAATAGGCTGGGAAAGGTACTGAAAAGGACATCAGTATTCTGGAGTAGACTCTCTAGGGATCTGATTTACAAGAGGAGGAGAAAACAGCCAACATACAGAATACTGCATTGCTCAGTAGTCACTGTGAACATGGATGGAATTCTGGCTGTGATCCCTTTTGCTTGTGGATCCTTCCCTAATTCATGCCCTGGTTTCCTCATCTGTAAGGGAGGAAATGACCTTATTGAAGTGCTCAGTACAGTGCCTGGCAGGAGTAACTGCTTTGTATATTAGTTCTTACTAACTAGAAAAATAGGATAAAATGATTTAAATTCCTATTAGTGTCTCAAATACATTGAAAAGTATAGTGAGTCCAAAGCAAGCCTCTGTACAAAGCTTAATTATGCTGCAGGCCCTATCATGTCCTTTCCTCAGTGGAGCTTAGTATACCTTTCTCACACCTAGAGTTACCCTCTCTGATGCTAATTTGTGATTTCTGGTACAGAATATGAGACTTTTGCTTTACAGTGAACTTCCGTGTCAGTGTCTCATTGGATTCTTACAACATCCCTGTGGAAGTTCTCCTGCCATTAAATGATGTGCCCAAGATCACATATTCAAAAAGTTGAAAACCTGTATTGGAGTTCCAGATCTGACTAAATCTTGTGCTTTCTCATTTTATATATTGGCTAGCATTATTCTTCATTGTCACGCGTTGGTCATGAAAATGTGGCAGATGCCATGAAATACAAGATAGCAGTTTGGGTCAAGTGAATCCATTTCCATAACTCTCATAAGCTCCTTAATACTTGCCAAGCTGACAGAACTATAGCAGTCTATTAAAAATTCTGAATAGCATGTATTTACAGTTCTGTAGTTTCATGACTTAGTAAGGTACTATGCATTTTATATTTGATTTGAAATTTATGAAGTACTAAATATTACTGAAGGGTAAGCATTTAAGTGATATCTTGGCAGAGTTAGAGGCATGCTCTAAATGAACTTGTGTGTGTGTGTTGAACGTAATCTCAGAATTAAATTGCACATTGGCATCTAGGAGATCTAAAAAGGTTTAGACCAATTCTGTGGTGTACTTTTGACATTGTATCTCAATATTCCATAAAACTTTCTTGTATCCCAAGTCTGACTTATATGAACTATTAATAGAATTAACTTGGAAGTGAGGGCCGGAGATTTATTCAGTTATGGATCAATAAAGCCGTTCATTTACTTGGTAAAGAGTATGTCAGTCCTTGAAAAGAATGGAGACAGAGATGAATTCAGTGGAAGAATATTGTGCTGATGTACAAATCATTCCTTTCCCTTCTCCTTGTCCCAAACTGGTGCATAAAATGTCAAGAACAATACTGAATATTCAGTGGAATTCATGATGATACTTGCCAAAGGAAAAGCAATGAGGGCCTGCAGCTTCAGGATTGTATGTGTCACATTTTTGTCATTTATGGCACATTACAAAAGAATCTGATAGATATGTGCAGTAAAAGAAGCAAAGGTGAGAAGAAGCTTTCTTCATATTCTTGACAACAGTGTCCAACCAGTAGAGCAAGTACCCAAAGGTCATGTAGCTGCTTCGAACATTGATGAAAGATGCTAAAACCCTATAACATTGTTGTAGAGCTAACAGGTGAGGGAATCTGTTGAGCTCAACCAGAGATGGCATTTAAAAAGCAGCTTTGCAGCAGATAATTGGATCAAATTAAAAGTTAACAGAGGTTAGAAACATTCAAGTCCATACATTATTCAACAGGATAAATAGATATCAAATGTGTTTTTCTCTAAAACTAAGCAAAAATTTACATAGTAATATCACACAAGAAGGCACTAAAGAATGAGATATGTCTGTGCTCAGTATGATTTTTTAAAATTCTCTTTTAGTTGTATATGGATACAATACCTTTGTTTTATTTATTTTATGTGGTGCTGAGGATTGAACCCAGGGCCTCACACATGCTAGGCAAGTGCTCTACCACTGAGCTACAACTCCAGCCCCTCAAAATAAGATTTGATGTTATCTACACCTCATTTGTCGTGATATGTATAATGTGAGACATTTGATGCAATTTTTCATTTCTTAGTGTCAACTTTGCTATTCACCAGCATTTTCTTGCTTTATGGATTAATCATCTTCCACTAGAATGTCTATGCATAGAAATATCTTTCTGTGTTTTCTAATCATGTCTCCTTTTTTCTCCACAAAATAGCATTTACTAATCTAAAAAATTCTAGTAAAATATATTTTGGGGTTTCCATTGGTTTGCTCAGTCTAATAACAATTCATCTATTTTTGTTTCAGCATTATAAAGATTAACTAAAGAAGGTTATAAAAGGAGCAATCCCAACCTCTTGTTACTCTGCTGAAACTTTAACTCTGTCCATGTGATCAGCACACTGTTTCATGCCTGAGAGCTCTCCAAAACCTGAGCTCTGCTTTGCACCTAACCACACAGCTCCTCCTTCATCTCTCCAGGTCAGAAACATATTTCCACAAGCAGTTCACTAATGCAAACTATTTAACAAAATCGGATTAATGAAGTCCTCAATTCAAGCATGCAGCATTCACTTTCTCAGATGCCACTTTCATAAAACCAACCATATACTTTGTTTCACATCTTTCCACACTGAGCGCCTGAGCACTAAAGTATCTGTGTCCATTGTGGAATACTTTTAAAAATTGTTTTGATGTCTGTAAAATGGAAACAATAATATCTGCCTAAGAGCTTTGTTATAAAAGTTCAAAATAGTGGACTCTCAGCAATAGATACTATTACAATGAATAGTCTCGCCATTTTTAGCAATTGTTACTTATTCTGTCATTAAACATTTATTACATGCTTCACACACATGTACTAGGGATTGGCCACAGGGCATCCAGCATGCTAGACAATTACCCTACCACTGGAGCTACACCTCAGCCCTGATGCTTCTTTTAGTTTACAGAAATGAAGTTCTATGAGCCTTTGGTCATTAAAGCATCACATCTTACTCTAAGGACTGCACTGTGCATATAGAATCACTTGTAGTTTAAATACATAGGTTCCTCTAAAAATCAAGTGTCAGACAATTAACATTCAAAGCTCTTGATGATCATCAAAAGGTACACTGGTGATCACTGATGCATCTCTCATAAAAGGCTTAGGAATATCCAATAATATAGAACACTCATTATGTATACTAAATACTACTATTCATTAATATCACAAAAACTGCATAATAAAAAGATTAAGATATGAGAAACAAGCCTGAGAAAGGTTGGCCATAATGATTGTACTCTTGGTTGGAAGAATGAATTTCCTGAAGTGAGGGAGTTTTTCGCTGATAATGCAGATGTGTTAATGAGTCTAGTATTACGTTTAATTGCTATGGCTAGGAACAGAGACAAATGATTCTTGGATTTAAATAAAAATACATTTAATCAGAAATAATAGCATGACAAAATGCCATTGCTAGATGTTCCAGAACTGAGTAGTCAGTGTAGCAACCATAAGTTTATGAATTCTGAGATTAGTAATTATTGAGAAAAAAAAAACAGAAAAGGAGATAAACCTGTCTGCTCTAGAGCAGTGTAGACATCAGATTGCTTATCTCACATACTGTAGTAAGCTTAACTTTTCCTTTTCTTCCATAAGTAACAGGAAACAATTCTGCTTGAAACATGTTTTATTTACTATTTTAAGGAAAACCTAACAGGTTGAAGGTACCCTCCTGAGACTGTTTTATCATTTAAACACTTTGTCTTTCACCAAATCTCATTCTATTTGACCATCACACTATTGACAATGTAAATGCATTCTCATTTTAAAAAGGAAAAAAAAAAGACAATTTGGTGGGCTGAAAACTTTTAACACACTTTAGAAC